GGTCACTGGCCAGGAGGCCTACAAGTTTCCGATAATGTATTAACAGTTAAAGCGGGTAAGGCGAGCAAGATCGAAGTAGAAATAAGGAACACTACAAAATATGATACAAGTCTAAAAGGTCGGACAGTTCTCGGTCGCTTGCAATTAGTTCAGTCAGTTACCCCTGTAGAAGTGAAACTGAAAACCGCTGACCCAAAGTCCCGAATACCTCCAAGTACGAAGTCAACTGATGACGTCTCAGACGACAAAATTCGAGGTTGCACATCCAACCATCTGCCTGCTCAACTTAAAGAAATCGACCTAATCGACTCACCAATGAACAATAGAAAGTTGCTGAACAACTACTCAACGAGCAAGCTGATGCTTTCGCCCAGAGTGATGATGACGTAGGAAGTATACCAAACCTTCAACTGAAAATCCACCTGAACGACAAAACCCCAGTTCAAAAGAACTATGTTGCTGTCCCTCGACCATTGTATCCCGAGGTGAAAGCTTATGTCGAAGATCTGTTAAACAGGAAGTTCATTCGGAGATCAAATTCGTCATACACGGTTCCCCTGAAGTGGGCGTTCGAAATAAGGATCAAAGTTTACGATTGTGCGTCGACTATCGCGAGCTCAACCGAAAATCAGGGGTAGATCGTCACCCAATCCCGCGCATTCAAGAGACTCTAGATAATTTGGGTGGCAATTCCTGGTTTTCAGTTCTCGACCAAGGCAAGGCGTACCATCAAGGATTCTTACAGCCTGAAAGTCAACCACTCACCCCTTTTATAACGCCTTGAGGACTTTACGAATGGATCAGAATTCCGTTTGGATTATCAAACGCACCTGCTAACTTCCAACGCTTCATGGAGACAACCTTAGCTGATTTACGAGACGAAATCTGTGATCCCTATTTGGACGATATCATCGTCTTCAGTGCGTCGTTTGGTGATCATGTCAGACACCCGCGACTAGTTCTCGAGCGGCTCAAAGAAAACGGAGTTAAATTAAAGCTAAAAAAATGTACGATCTTTAAGAGAGAACTCGTGTTTCTCGGGATAATCGTCTCCAAAGACGGCTACAAACTCGACCCTTCCACCTTTGCTCCCATTCTGTGCATGCAAGAAACTCTACCTAAGACGGTAAACGAGGTTCGCAAACAAATGGGATTTCTAAATTATTACAGAAGATATATCGCAAACTTTTCCGCTATGGCAAATTCTATCTACGATCTCGTGAAAACGTCTGAGGGTGGTACTAACGGTGTTTTCGCCAAACACAAGAAGAATGCAAGCCAGAAAGTGTCATGGACACAAACCCACCAGGCCGCTCTCGAGCAACTCCTTTCTCATGTAACCCGTGCCCCAGTGATGGCGTACCCAGATGCTACACGCCCGACCATACTCCACACTGATGCGTCCGAAAACGGGCTCGGTGTAGTTCTCTATCAAAAACAAGCCCCGCGTAATCGCGTATGGTTCTCGCACTCTCACGCCGGCAGAAAAGAACTATCATCTACAGTCTGGAAAGCATGAATACTTAGCTTTGAAGTGGGCCATTTGTGACCACTTCCGAGATTATTACTCTCCACCCTTTGAAGTGTTTACAGATAATAATCCACTAACATATGTTCTCTCTTCCGCAAAGTTAAATGCCACTGGTTTACGCTGGATAGGGGAGTTAGCAGATTTTAATTTCACGATCCGCTACCGACCTCGAAAAGCTAACGCTGACGCGAACACGTTGTCTCGCATGCCTGAACATATGGAGCAGTACATGGCATCATGTAATAAAGAAACTAGTCAGGACGAGCTACGGACGATTATCAAGTCGGTGCAACTACAGGATGAGGGTCACATTAATTGGATATCCTCGCTGACTAATGATCACAGTGTAGCAGACGAAAGTGAACCGAAGCTCCCGTCAGACAACTGAATAACTGTTGACTTAAAGGACATTTGACGAGCCCAAACAACAGACGAGGTGATTCACAAAGTATATGCGTTTGTGAAAACTGGCAAAAGACCGACGGCCAACCAACTCACACAGGAGTCTCCCTGGGTGCGACTACTCTCGTATGAATGGCGCAAGTTATTTCTCGACAAAGACGGGGTGTTAAGGAGGAAAAGTGGCTTATGCCAGCAGATCGTACTTCCGAGATAGTATCATCAGATGGTCTTGAAAGAGCTCCACAATAATATGGGCCATCTAGGGTCAGAACGCGTTCTTCACCTAGCTAGAGACCGATTTTACTGGCTCAAAATGCAGCGCGACGTCGAGCACTACGTAAAGCACGTATGCCAGTGCCTTAAACAGAAACCCACACGACTGAAAACAAAGGCTCCACTCTAACCAATCATTACGTCTTCACCCTTTGAGTTAGTATCTGTTGATTTCCTCCATCTCGAACGGTCAAGCGGTGGTATGAATATATTCTAGTGATTGTAGATCATTTTACACACTTGGCACAAGCTTACCCAACCCGCAACAAAACGGCGCAAACTGTTTCTAACGAGTACATCCCTCGTTTCGGGTTTCCCGCCAAAATACACCACGACCAAAGCGGGAAGTTTGAGAATCGGCTCCTTGGAAGACTCGAGCAACTCTGCGGCGTTGGTCACTCACGTACCACCACTCCATACCACCACCAGGGGAATGGCCAAGTAGAGCGCTTCAATCGAACATTGCTAGACATGCTCCGCACCCTTCCCGAAAATGCGAAATCACACTGGAAGGACCATGTCAACAAAGTCGTACATGCTTACAACTGCACCAAAAACGACACGACGGGTTATTTACCATTTTTCCTGCTTTTCAGACGGAAACCGCGACTACCACTAGACCTGATATTTAATAGCAGGACGAAGACAAACGAACAGGAACACTCGAAATACGTTGAGAAATGGAAAACGTCCATGAAAGAAGCCTACGAGCTTGCTACCAAGAAGATTCGGGATAAAGGATTGAAGGCAAAGAAATCGTACGATCGCTGGATGCGTAGCACGGTCCTCCTACCCGGAGATAGAGTGTTGGAACGAAACCTAAGTGAACGTGGTGGCCCAGGTAAACTTAGGTCCTTCTGGGAGAGAGATGTACATGTCGTGATTAAACGGGAAGGATCGGACAGTCCTGTTTATGAAGTCCAATGTGAAAGCAACAGCAGAAAGACTAGGGTTCTCCACCGAAACCTCCTTCTCCCATGCGATTACCTATCTGTTGAGGATGAAAATCTTGCTGTTACCCTCGCAAACGACGAGGGCAAAGGCCAGAACCCACTGCCCTGTGCGAAAGTAACGAGTCTTCCAGTGACGAAGAGATCGACGATTTGGTAGTTTTACCCACCACGACCTCCGAATATCCGCCTCAACCACCATTGTGCCCACCAGCGATTCAACCTCCGACTGCCAACGATCTGGTACTGCAGACCGAGATTCCCGAAGATTATGTACAGCAGCAGGAAGATATTACGATCGAAACCCCAAACGAGCCCCTAGTTCATGACCCTAGTCAGCAAGATGTTGTCAACACGAACCTACATGATGCTGAGAAATTAACTCCCCCCCCCCTCCCGAAAACCACAGACCACGACGGACCCGGCAACCACCAGATCGTCTGACTTATTTTCAACCTGGCGAAACCGATGTAAATGGGTTATATAATGTCACCACGACAATTCCAACAAATGTATGGCAACCACCGCAAGTGCCTGGTCCCGTAAACCCACCCTTCCTCTCCTTTAACACACCTCGCCCATTTTATCCACCTTATTTTCCCTACCTTTCACCCAAAACTTTTACTGAAGAATACTTAAACATTCTTTTCAAAATTACTTTTAAAAAAAATTATATTATCCAGAAAGCTATCAGGAAGAACTGATAAAAGTTAGTTATCAAAAGTTTACTTAGTTAATACAAGCTGCAGCGTATTAATTAATAAGTTATGAAGAAACAATGTATGTTCGTAGATAGGATCCTATGTAATCGTAATTTGCATGATAGTTTTCTGTTCTAAAGAGCAATCTTTGCATCAGTACCAGGTACTGCAGTGTCACGGGACGACACTTTTTGTAGAGGGGGAATGTGTATTAAATGCATTCTAGATGTGTTATTATTTATGTTAGTATCGTATTACCGTGTAAATATAACAAAGAAACATTGATATTATTGCATGAGACTTTTGAGATATAATAGCGAAGCACAACAGTTGTGAATCAATGTAAGTGATATACGAATGTGGTGTAATTATTCTCCTGGCGCTAAAGAACCTGTGGGAACGAGGTAACATTCTACCCTTACACACCACCACGCATTATAAGGCCAGTGTGAACGCCTGAGCAGGCGTCTTGTTTTATCATAGTTGGCCGTCAAGATATGATGGTCGGGATGTCCGGTGAAAACCAAAGCTACAAAATAGAAGGCCTTTGTTTGATGTTGAACTACACCTCATTGTGCACAAATCGTTTGTCTCAACTTCATTAAATATTATTCATCGTGGTTGGACGTTTCATCTCAGCTATCCCTATTCTCTATTAGACGATTACTTCATCAACGAAAATACAATGAGCTCAATCACCGTGAACGTACGTACACAAATTAACATAAACTCAAACAAAAACGTAATACAATGACTTCTGTTTAGTTTCCAGACCATCATATCCTGATAGCAGCATGAGCTCTACTTTTGAATTTACTATATGCCGAGTAAACTGTTAAACACGTCTGAATTTATCAATATGATAAATTCGCGGCACCTAACCTCTAACCCAGCCCTTAACTAATGTAACTTTTAAAACTTTTTTTGGAATCCCAACCCTAACCCCTAACCCTAATGTAACTTTTTAAACTTTTTTTAGAAATAAATTGTTAAAACATGTTAAAACCATTGAGATCACTGAACTTAAATTATGCTTAATTGATTTTCCTAGTTAGTTTTTCAATTAACAGGGTCGTAAACTCGTAATGCGCCTTAAAATCCATCATTTTAGAGGCTGAACTGTGCCTTTAAATACGTCAATCGCGCTATTATAACCCAGAGATAACTTAAGAATCATAAGGTTAATCAGGTTTCTGATATATTTGTTGCTTTTTCTGATATGTTGTTGTTGTTGTTGTTGTTGTTGTTGTTGTTGTTACTATATAGCTATTGAGTATTTTAAAACCTGCATGCTCGTTACGCAACTCTTTCGCTAAAACCTCCGATCTCTACCTTGTTTGAATTTACAGCTATATAGTAGATGAATTTACTGTTTTTGCCGAGCGTACAGGAGTTTGAGGCCATGCAGTAATCCTCAAGGAATCTCATCATATCCTGTAAAGCTCGATCGGTTAAAACAGCAAATTCGATTGCAGCAAAGAATGACGACATAGACTTATTTAATGCGTTCGAACAAACCTGTTCCACACTTATTTCCGCACTTATTTTTTCTAGTTTCTCCTGCAGTAGAACAACCTATAAAAGAACAAGGTATGGAAATATTTTTAGTTACAATAATTATTAGGTTTATACACTAAGGAAAAGCCTGCATGAAAGAACCAGTGGACTCATAGTTAAGAACCAACAACAGCCTGAGATTTAGGCACTTCCGGAATACAAGAACCACTACTTCATGCTGACAAATGAGAAAATTAAAAAAACTTAATTTTCATACTTTAGCTGAAGCATAATAGAAAACGTGTTCTATAACCGGGGGTGTAACACCCCCAATAATTTTTAAGTTCAAGAAAGTTGGTAAAAATAGAAAATATTTGGTGATAATAGTTGTCCCTATTTAAACGAAAGGGAGAGGGCAAAATTACTCAAATATAATTGGTTAATAATGAGGGCATTTTTTTCTTAATTCAGGGCAAAATTACTTGTACCTGATTGGCTGAGACTCAAGCGCGTGAAGTTTCTTGTTTTAAATAGCAGTAAAACAATGGCTCTCGCTTTGTCGTTGGGACAATGTCAATGATTTTTTCCGTGTTGGTGTTGTGTACTCAGGTGAATATGATGTTTGTGATGTTACTCTGAGTGCATATCCACACCGGGCGAGCTTGAAAAATATGCCCGGCCACGGTGGGAATCGAACCTACGACCTTTGGAATACTAGCCCAATGCTCTTCCAACTGAGCTACGCGGTCAGGACGGTTCGAGTAAGTGATATTTTGGAACAGAATCTAGTTCCTTCGATAGCGATGTAATCTAGTAATACGATTTTTTCTGTGTTGGTGTTGTGTACTCAGGTGAATATGATGTTTGTGATGTTACTCTGAGTGCATATCCACATCTTACTCGAACCATCCTGACCGCGTAGCTCAGTTGGAAGAGCATTGGCCTAGTATTCCAAAGGTCGTAGGTTCGATTCCCACCGTGGCCGGGCATATTTTTCAAGCTCTCCCGGTGTGCAGATGCACTCAGAATAACATCACAAACATCATATTTACCTGAGAACATAACACCAACACAGAAAAAATCATATTACTAGATTACATTGGTATCGAAGGAACCAGATTTTGTTCCGAAATATCACTTACTCGAACCGTCCTGACCGCGTAGTTCAGTTGGAAGAGCATTGGGCTAGTATTTCAAAGGTCTTAGGTTCGATTCCCACTGTAGCCGGGCATATTTATCAAGCCTGCCCGGTGTGGATATGCACTCAGAGTAACATCACAAACATAATGTCAATGATGTTATTGAAGAATTAAAAACTTCTAGTGAAAACTGGAACATTAGAAAAAGTACAAATTTATGGGTTGGAGTATTTAAAAAATGGGCAGCATTAAAGAAGATCGGTGAAGATGGAGATATAAGAGGTTCAAGAACTTGAAAAGTTCACAATTTACTTACGAATAAATTTTGCCCCCTATGATCAACAAGTAATCGCATAGTTCCTCGTAAAATTAAGGTTTAATTTCACTTTTGTCTTCAAAGTTTCACAAATTTGTGAAACTTTGAAAACGCAAGTGAGATTACCCCTTAATTAATTTTACTCGGCCCCATGCGATTACCCATAATAATACTGTGAAGAGCACACTAATTGACGAAACAAATAATTTAAACCACTAAGTCTGAAGCAAATGATTGTGCCTGGGAATATGAACCAGTTAAGAAGCTACTTGGCTAAGGCAGTACTTATGATATGTACAACGAGTGTGTGTGTGCGCGCGCGCGTGTGTGTGTGTGTGTGTGCGTGCGTGTGCGTGTGCGTGTGTGTGTGTGTGTATGGGTACTTTTTCTCCCACTATTTGGGGATGGGGATAAATATAATATAATATATAATTATACCCCACACCCAGTTTTTGTCTTATTTTGCTTTCTCAACAATTGAAGATAAATGATTAACAGTTATTCTGTGTGAATTATGGTATCGTAACCTCGTAATAATAAAGGTATCAAAATTGAGGTTTTCAGATGATCATAAAACTTGTCCAAAATACATGATACATGTTTCACTGACCCTAAAATTGGACAAAATTCCGGGGGACCACGAACTGCTATGGGTATGCCCTTGCTAACAAGCCCTCAGTCCAGAATCACCAGCATGGAAAAAGTAATGCCCCAGGGGGTTAATAGAGGAAAGACGATATGTAAAACTATTTACATTACTTTTACGTGTTTAAATTAATTGACAGACTGGTTGGCAAGATCACAAAAAGAAACAAACTCAAATCTCACGAAAAATGAAAAATTAATGGAAAAGAAGATGGCTGCTTTTCATGCTGACTTAGCTGAGATAGTTTTTCAAGGAATACAGTGGTTCTGCATAGATCCAACAAGTGGTGATCACGAGGAATACGATAAGGAAACAAACGTCATTATTGAGAAAGCTTACAGCAAAAAAGAAAAATCCGTTATTTTCCTTTTGGATGACGAAAAATGTGAAATTGTATTTGGTAAGATGCAAGAGACCAACTTGAATACAAAGGAGACGATAAAAGTAATCAGAAAGGATCTTAAAGGTATTAAAAATTATCTACTGTATATTCATGCAATAAATCGCTCAACTTTTTAATATATTGGGTCATTCCAATTGATAAAAATCAGGAAGGGAATTCAAATTATGAAAGTAATTGAATTTAGCCTCATGATCATGATCAGGTGAAAGTACCCTTGTGTTTTGCCTATATTATAGAAAGAAAACATGTTTCTGACTGAGTATTTATTTAGCAAATACATGGATAGAAGGTTAATTAATCGAGTTATACTCATGGAGATAAACGCAAATGCAGCTTCTACTTAATTAGTGTATCATCCTTAATATCACAAGTTACATGCAGCCACAGACGGGTCAGAATTGTATTGGAAGGTTATTTTATATTTATAGTTATTCGCTAGAATGCAAAAACGGTTAATAATGTGGGTGTTGCTTTAAATGTGGTGGTTTGAACATGTGTGAAACTTTTCGCCATACAAGCAGAAATGCTTTGCCACTTCTACCAAATTTGGCAAGAGAAATGCTTACAGACAAACAAAACCACTTAGAGCTTTGTCTACCCAAGCCTAACAAATTAAACTTTCTGTTCTCTATATGTACTTTATACATAACATGTTTTATAGCTAATAATATTCATGAAAACATTTTTCAATTCTGATTGGCTTAGAGGAGTTCATTTTATCGAAGTAGAATACCAAAAGAAGTAATACATGCAATGATAAAAAAAGAAATACAAAGTAGCAAGAATTAAAAACAGTGCCAAAAAATGGAATATAGTGCCAAAAAAATGAAATACACAATGCCAAAAAAGGCACTTGTGCAATTTCGACCGTCGTTGAAAAACTCATTCGTGTATGTTATTTTCAAATTGCACTCGAAAATATACTGGCTTGCTTGCATGGGCAGTTCTGATCAATTTTGGGCTAACATTTGGTAAGTATGACGTCACACAACAACGAAGGCAGGATGCGTCGCTTTCGCCCTACCTCCGCCCCGCCCACAAATCGCCTGGGTTCAAGTCTTTTCATGTAGAGAAGCGCTGGAAAAGCGACATGCCTTGGCTGACTATTACCTTTACATAAAATACAAAACTACTTTTAATTTACTTCAGTTGATGTGTCTGTTCCTGAATATTGGGAACCTCAACCACGCGATGTAAATGGGAAAGAGCTAACAGTGCATCTAGTCACCCTCAACCCTAACAACCCAAATCACAAAAACGAATACAAGAATATCAGTGATCATTTCTGCCAAACTGCAACGCAACAAATCCTGCACATTCAACGAATCCAGAATCCATCATTGTTCAGAGCATACCTTGTCAAGAAACAAAGTCTAGACGAAAAACATGGAAGTAATGAGAAATTCTTGTTTCATGGTATAAGGGCTAACAAAATAAACGATATTAATGAACATGGCCTCAACAGGTCTTACGCAGGAAATACTCATGGTAACGATTTTCATTTTCTATGCTACAAATAGATGAATATTCAATATTGAATACTGAGTTTGGAAATAAATATTTGATGTTGTCAACCAGGGTCGTTGCTATGTGTGTGGGGGGGGGGGGAGAATTGCGGTTGTCGGCAAAATTAGGGATTTTGTGGGGCAATTGTTTTCGTAGTCTGCAAACAGGGCCGTAGGAACTAGGAAGATCGATAATTGGGGGAGGGCTCATATTCATATATTCATGTTTATAGACCGTAAAAACAATCGATTTCAAAAGAAGTGAGTAATGCAGAACACGAATATATGAATATGAGCCCCCCCCCCCCCCC